GCAGGGGGCAGGGCGCAGTGCAGCAGGGTGCAGCAGGGTGCAGTAGGGCGCAGGCTCGGGTGCAGCAGGGCGCAGGCTCGGGTGCAGCAGGGCGCAGGGGCGCAGCAGGGCTTGATCGCCTTTGATGGCTGCTGGCTGAAATGAAGGCTCGGTAGATGAGAGAGAAAAGGCCCAAAGTCAGGGTGAGGAAGAAGACTTTGGCGGGGTAACGGAGATGATTGCAGAAGAGGGAAAGGCAAAAGAGGGAAAGGTAAAGGGGAGGGGCTGGGTTTAAGAGAACGACGTCGTTTTTTTGTTGGGACTCCAAATTTTGTTGGGAGGTAGGACTGATGGCCACTTTACCGATATATATATATATATATTTCTTTCTTTTTAAATAGTTAAGGTATTTTTAGTTTAGTTTTTATTCAGTTTAAAATCTTTCTTAATTTTTTATTTTTGAACGAATCTTAAAAATGTATCTTTTACATTAACCAACCTAATGTATTAAAAAAATTAATTTACTTAGATAACAAATATAAAACTTAAATTTTAAACTTAATAATATTTATTTATTAATAAATCCAACCAAGAGAGAAGAGAAAGACCTTTTGTTAGCAATGTAGAAAATAATATTTTAAATTTTTAATAATATTAAACAATTTTATTTACCTTAAATTAAAACTCCTTACTCGAACTCTTCAACTTCCTCTCCCTCAGCCACCATCAATCTTCGGCTTCCAAATTGCCACCTCTAGACTCGCCACCTCTAGACTCACCTATCAACCACAAAGCAACTTGAAGCAACTCAAAGTTAAGTTGATTTTCTTCCTACCATAACACACTCATTCCAATTCTCTATCAATTCTTCTCTCTCTCTTATTGTTGTTTTTGTGGGATGTTCTTCGATTTCTGTAATAAGTAGTTGCTATTGTTGTTTAGGCAATGAAATTTAAAAAAATTCTTAGCTCGCCTCTTACATGGACTTTTTAAAGTTATGGATAAGAATAACATTCCTTATGGCTGTAGCCTGTAGCCTCCAAATGAAGAAAAAAAACTTGCTATTGTTCTAATTGTTCAAATATAGAGTATTTTTCTTTCTTTTTTTTTTTGTTTTTTTGGCTAAAGTTCAAATATATAGAGTTGATGATAGGTTTTTAGTCTCTTTTTGATTTAGATTAAGATTTAGCACTTGATTTTTTTTGTTGCAACTAAGTTAAATGAAATCTTTAATGTTTATATTATATTCTATGATGGTTATGACAGTGAAATATAAAGAATTTTCACATAAAAAATATGTCATCATTTGATTTTAAAAAATTAAAATAAAATTAATAATAAAAAATAAAAGAATTTAACTTGTTGGATCGACTCATAACTCAATAGAGTCAAATTAAAGTTAATATTTATTAACTCATAATTTATTTTCAACCTAATTTATATGTCCTGTAACTGAAACTAACCCAACCTAAACCCAACTTAACCTGTCCTTTTGCCAAGCCAAGTTGTATACATGGATCCAACCCCATTGAAAGGTAGTATAAATGTTGAAAATGAGGGAACCTTCTTTCCACCGTATATGGCATTTATTACCATGTTGTAAACGGTTGAAATTTACTCATGACATTTATTGTCATGTTGACAAGAGGCCTGATTGCAAGAAGTATTTCTTTAGCTTATTGCTAGACATGGCACCGCCCTAAAGGAGTCTTGTTCGGTTTGTTCACATTTGCTCATGTGAGTTGATGAGCTCTATAAATAGAGCTTGGGTACATGGCAGAATATGCAATTTAGAGAAATTGAGAAGAGTTAAGTGAGTGAATGCTTGTGAGAGAGAAAAGAAAGAAAAAAATTATGAGATAATCCTCGTAGAGATTAAAAGAGAGTGTTAGAGAGAATTTAAAAATTTTTATATATTAAAGTTAAAGTATTTAGAGCTTTTAGAATGAGAAAAATTTAAAATTTTTATACTTATTTTTTAATAGTAGATTTATTTTTCTCTTTCTCATAAGTATAGACTATTGTAAAGTATATAAATTAAATCACATTAAATTATTATCTTAATTTTTTTATTACTTTCTTTTGTGTAGGATTGTAGTGCACAAAAATTCCCAATAAGACCTACTTTATTT